GTGCGTGCGTGCGCGGGAAAGGAAGTACGTACCTGAACCGACAGCTTTTATTAATAAAAAAAGTCATTTATTATTTTTAGCAAGGCGATTCTGCGGTCACAAAACCTTGCTTTTTTATGTTAACCGAACCGAAATTTTAGATTTTTTTTTCTATTTATATAATAATAATAATAATAATTCAGGTTCGGCTACCAGGTTTTCCCCTCTTTCAAATTATTAAAACATTATTATTATTGACACGTCGAATCGTGAAATTTATTTCACACATTCAATGGAAATTTTTATATATTTTCGCTTTTCTTATTTTTTTTCTTTCCTTTTTTTCCATTTTTTTATTTTTGGGGAGGGGAGGGGGCGTCCGGTAAAATGGTAAAAAAAAAAATTTTATTTTTATTTTTGTTTTTGTCGGTCTAATCGCCGAATTCCATACGATGCCCTTTAAATAACTTGTAGACCTTGTGCTCGTTATTATATACGTTATGAAATTATTATTATTATTATTATTATTATTACTTTTTTTAAAAATATAATTATTTATTCCATTTTGTTTTTCGATATGGTTACTTTTGTAATTTAAATTTGCGCGCCTTTTTTTTTCTTTTCGGTCCCCTCTTCTTCCTGTAAAAAAAAGAAAACTTTATCGTGATGCGTTAAACGGGGTTTTGCGCATGAAAAATGACGTCATCATCATTTTGATCCTTTTCGAAACAATCGGGTGACAATCGTTTGTCGTAATAAATGTAATAATATGTAATAAACTTGTCTGTCGAGGGATAATAAGGTACGGAGGGGGGAAGGTACGATGCAATGTAATACGAAATCTTGTTTGTTGTCGATGAAGCACCGGAAGTGGAAACAAACAAACGAACAAAGGAGTGATAACGATAACGTTTCAATCTCATCTCTTATTTGGAAACCTTTTTTTTTTTCGTTATTTCGTTATTCGCGTTTTAAAATTTTTAATTTAAATTCATTCTGTTGCCACTTCAGGAGGAAGAGAAAGAGAGAGAGGAAATGATAAGCGGGCGAAAGAAAGACCATAATGATAGTTTTTTTTTTGGGTGTCGGAAAAAAAAAAATTGAAAAAAAAATCCTTCAGGGCTGTCTTGTGGTTTAATCGTACCTTAATCGAAAAAAAAAAGAAAAAAGGGAAAAAGGGAAAATGGTTGACCTTAATAATTTTGTCCAAGAATTTTTATGCCTAAAGCGGATACAACAACAGTCAGGACACACCCTCAAGTAAAAATTGATGCGAATGTTTTGGAAAAAAAAATGTCCAGGAAAATTTTTTTTCTTTTTTTCGAAAATTACAAAAAATACTAATGATAATAATAATTTGATAACGCGAAAGTTTTAATTTTATTAAAAAAATTTTTTTTTTTATTTTCCTTTGTCCCGGGAGCCTGGAATTTTTATTATGAAGTTAAACTTAGAGAAAAATCAGATAAGTTAAAATGCTATATTCTTTTTTTTCTTCTGCTTCCACGAATAAAATTGTCGGCGTTTTTTTTAAAAAGAAACGCGGCGGCGGCTGAGCACACGCGTAAAATATCGAATTTACTCCGGTCGATAGCAAAAATAGCAAAATTCCGTTTTGTTTGTTTTAATGAAACAATTTAAGGATGTTTGTTTCGTGAGGAGGGATTTCCCGTCTCCTTTTTTTCTCCAGAATTCGGGAATCACGCTGGAAAACGTTTCGAAAAAAAAAATTTCATTCGACGTCGCGTCACGTTCTTCAATATTTTGATTGTTTTAAATCGCCAAATTTTAGAAAAAAAAAATTCTCTAAAGTTCGTTTGTTTGTTTGTTTGTTCGTTTGTTGCATCTTATTGAATATATATATATATATATATATATATATATATTTATAAAAAAAAAAAATTCTTAAAAAAAATTTGCAAAAAAAACGAACAAACGTTTCACAAACCAAAATCACATACTTAAAAATTTAACAAACGGATTATCTCCGATTAAACAAGATTAAATTATGCTAACGCTAATCCCACGGAAGGAACTCATTAAATTCGAATTTGTTATTTAACAAATGGTTCTAAAAAAGAAAGAAACAATCATGATGATGATGATGATGATAATAATAATAATCGTAAAAGGAGAAGAGAGAAAAAAAAAGTGACGACATACGTGCGTACACGAAAAAATAATAATAATAATAATAATAATTTTTTTCTTATTAATGACTTTAAAAAAATTATTTTTTTTTATTTATTGCGTTTTTTTCGGAAGAGTAATAAGGAGAATTCTGCTGCCACGACGGAAGAAAAAAAAAAATCAAATCAAATCTTTTTCGTTTTCTCACGTTCCTTTCATTTTTTTTTTTAATTCGTCGTCGTCAAAAAAAAAAACGTTCGTCATGCTTTTTGGTCATTTTTAAATTTCGACTGGAGAAAAAAAATAAAATTTTTTTTTTTTACAAAAAACTGGAAATCGAATTTTTAAAAAATTTTTTTATAATGATTATTATTATTATTATTATTATTATTATTGGTTAGAAACGTGACGATTGGAAAATTTTCTTTTTGTTTTTCGGGGAAATTCTCCGGTGTATTCTATTTTGGAATGATTTAAGGTCCGGAACACGTGTGTAGGATTTCGCTGGAAGTCGACACAAACACACAAACACTGGAACCTGAAATTTTTCTTTTATTTAATGATGGAATCGTTTTTACGATCTCCAAAAAAAAAAAAAAAAATTTATTTGTGTTGGCGTTTTCCGGTTCCCCGCCTGTTTTCTGTTGCATGCCTGACTTTACATCCTCGAGGGTTTTACTTGTGTCGTGTCTCTTTCCTCCCCCCCCTCTCTCTCTCTCTTTCTACGTATTTTTAAAATATTTAAATTTCACCGTTTCCATCCTTTCGTCCGAAAAAAAAAAAAAAATTTCTTTTTCAGGTATCCCTCCTTCCTCTCCTACTTCTTTCCTTCCCCTCCCCGTCGTAACATTCATAATTAAAAATTATGTGACTTTGTTTATCTTGGCGGTAATCTCGAGTTATTAAAAAAAAAAAAAAATTTTTTTTTTTTTATCTTTTTTACGTTGCATTATAAATCTGATTAGTTCACGACTGGAGAAGAAGAATATTCGAGAGGCCGAATTATCTAGAAAAAGAAGGCCTACCAACTTTTATCGATTGTCCCTGGGTTATGAGAAGAAGACTTTTGGTATCCGATGGTTTTTGTTCTTTTTTGCTCTTCGATATGACTGACTAGTAGTAGTAGAAGTAGTACGAGGAACACACGATGACTGACATTTTCTTTTTTTGGGTGTGTCATTATTATTATTATTACCATCGGCATATTTACTTTTCTCTTTCTCTTCATCAGGAAGAAAAACAATTTCTTTTTTTTTCGATATCTCGAACGTTCTTTCGGTCGGTTTGATCGGTCGGCGGTTTTTTATGTTTTTTTTTTTTTACGAGCGAACGAAAGACTTTTTAAATTGTTATTAATCAGTTTATTAAAAGTAATAATTAAAAAGTTTACGATGAAAAGTGATGAGAGAGAAAGAGAGAGAGAGAGAGAGTTGTTTAAAAAAGTTAATTTTAATTAAAGAAAAATTTCGACAATAAGATAATTGACAAATTATACGAGTGAGGCCGACACATGGCACGACAGAAACAAAAAAAATTTAAGGTTTGCTACCCTTTAACATCCGTTCGGCATTTTTTTCCAACTATATTGCAAATTCAACGAACGTGAAATTTGTTTTTTAATCGTCCATTTTCTACGAGGTTGAACTCGTCTGCTAATCCATCCACGGATGCGTATCTCTATTAATCGCCAGTAACAGCTTTCTGACTCATAAATTAAAAACTTTAAAGGTCAGATTATTTATACCCAGAAAGATTAAGTTTTTCTTCTGACGGAGACGGAAACGATCTCGAATTTATCTTTTTAAAAAAAAAAACTTTTTTTTCTTACAAAGGTCGCGTAACCCTGCGAACTCGCACCGCAAATTTTTAACTTGGAGCAAAAAAATTGTTTGTTGTCGGTCGTGTGTGACCGCTTCGCGAACGCAACGCAAACGGTAGCTCATGAAATATAAACCGTAAAAAATTGGCGGATGAATAATGAACGCGAATGTAAAGATAGACGAGTAGATAGATGGATAAATAGATAGACTAATAGATTAATAAGTGGAAAAAGGCGGATGGTTGGATAGATGGCGGATGGATGCCACCTTCGTTTTTTAGTTTATACAATTTTACGACGACCTTACGAAGTTTACTTGCCAATAAAAATTAATAAAAGTTTAAATCGCTCCATTTTTTCTTTTTTTTTTTGCAGTTGTTCGAAATTGTCTCTCTTTTTCTCTCTCATCGCCGCCACGCCGCGTTAATATTGCCCTTTGACCTTTTCTCTTTCTTTTTTTTTTCCTTCCATTTACGATAAAAATTTAAAGCCGCTAATTTAAAAAAAGACTCTGAAGTTTAAGCCATTAAGTTTTTTTTTTTTATCTAATAATAATGATGATCATTATTATGATATTGAATTATTAAAAAAAAGCGAAGGGAAAAGAGGGGAGGGAAGGAGAGGAGGGAAAGAAAAAGAAAATATTCGTCTGCTTGTTTTTTTTTTTTTTTAAATTTTTCACGGTTGTGACGTTAAAAGATTTCTTCGTTACGATGAGGGAAGTTTTTGATGCAAAAAAAAGTTCTGGAAAAATTTTTTTTTGGAACGATTTCTGGAAGAATATTGTTGATTATTAAAATTACTCCTCTCGCAAGATTTTTATTTTTCCGCCATTTTTATTTTTAATTCTTCGTGTTTGACGTGACAAAAGAAAGAAAACGGTTTAAAAAATTCGAGTCGTGTCTTGTGAAATTATAAAGAAATTGTTGTTTTTGTTGTCGTTGTTGTTGTTGTTGCGAGAGGCATGGTCTGTAATTACAAAAACGACGACACGAATTCCGATGTTTTTTTTTTTTTTTACTGGAATCGACAAAAATCTGTGATTGAACTTTTTTAAAAATTTTTGTTACAGGTTAAAATTTGGTTTCAAAACAGGAGGAGTAAATATAAGAAAATGATGAAAGCCGCACAGAACACGGGGCCGGGAGGACAAAATAACAATGGTAATAGCCAACACCTTTTAAGTACGGGAGGAGGAGGTGGTGGAAACGGATCTCCAGCACCACCCGGCGGTGCTACCGTCGGAATTTTAGGTGGAAACAACAGCACGGGGTCGCAAAATTCTCCAAATTACGGACACCATAACCAAAATCAAACATCTCCATCACCTAGTTCTACTCCCGTATCGGACATGTCACCTCACGGTTTATCCGGATCACCTCCTACCATGAACTGGGACATGAAACCTAACATTAACAATTTGGGTAAGTTTTTTTTTTTAAATTTTACGCAACAGCAATATATCGTTTTTTTTTTTTTTTAAACCGTTAACGGTTTTTTTTTGTCATTTCAGGTGTGACACCCACGCATCACACGACTGGTCATCCACATCATACACCAACCCATCATCACCCGACGCATCATTCGTACATGCCACAATACAGTTGGTATAATGCAGATACGGCAAATCAACCTTTGCTAACGTGAGTTTAAACAACATTTTTATTAAACCTTTTCCGGTTTTTATCATCATCATTTCCTCAACTCTTTATCGATACTCGAACGTCGAGTTTTCCGGTTGGAGGAGGGTAACAAAAAAAAACCGCAAAAATTTCAAAAAAAATAATAATAATAATTTCCAATAGACGATTACAACAAGTTTCACATAAAAAAAATTTTTTTTTTGCGGTCGTTCGGCCCACTGAAACAAGACAACAAAATGTCGGTAACGGAATTTTATAACCGTCCGGCATAAATTTTAAATTTTTATTCCCACGACAACTCAACGTTTTTTTTTCTTTATTTCCGATTCGCGGCGTCAAACGCTTCGGTCACGGTTTTTTTTTTTTTTCAAAACCAAAAACTTTGGTTAACTTTTTTTTATCGTCTGCTAATTCAAAGATTTTTCCGATACATTTTCCTATTTTATCATCATTATCATCATCTTCATTCGTTTAATTCTTTCTTTTCGCGGATTTGTTTGTTTAAGAATTAAATTTTCCGATCAGATTTTTTTTTTTAAAAAACCTATTTTCCGGTAACGATAGCATTATTGTCATAATCTTCTTACATTTCATTTTTTGTTTTTTTCTTTTAGGGTTTGGCCAGCAGTTTAACATTAGGTAAAATAATTTAGAACTTTCGACGGTACTATAGCGGTAAACCAAATGTGCGTAGATAATAAGAATTTTTTTTTTTATTGTGCAAAAAAAAGCGAACAAACGATAATAAAAGTGCGTAAGTGCGTGTATATATACGTCAAGAAAAAAAGAAGAAGAGGAAGTGAAGGAAGAAGCAGAAGAAAAAAAAAGACAAAAATGAAATTAACGAAAGTGATAAATAAATAAATATGATAAACGTTTATTAAAAGTGATTTGATCGTCGTCGATTCATCGGTTGTACGATTGTTGTTGTTGTATTTGTTTAATTATCGTTTACCCTCCCCCCCTTCCCCCCACATCTTTCCCTCTCTCTTTTTCTTTTTTTCTCACAAATTGCATTTAAAATAAATAATTATATATATTTATATATATATAAATAAAATTTTTAAATAAGTGAAACAAAAAATAAAATTTTATGTAAATTTAAATTTAAATTTAAATAATATTAATAATATTAATAATAATTATAATAATAATAAATTAAAAAATAATAAAAAATGTTCCTCTTAATTTGTATAAAAAATAAATAAATAAATAAATAAAGTTTGTAAGTTAATTATATATTTTTTGAATTTATTTTATTTTTTATTTTTAAATCGTTCCAGATGATTCTAGAAGAATCTCCTCCATTTTTTATTGACATCATCATCATTATTGATTATATGTATCCGTTTAAAAAATTATTATAATAAAGTTTAAATAAATTAAAATGGATTATTTTTATTTAAAAAAAAAAAACCTCCGAATAAAACAATCGGGAATAATATTTTTAAACAAACAGACAAACAAACAAACGAACAAACGAATACGATTAAAAACGGAAAAAAAAACCCAGAAGGAAACGAGAATTTTTTTTTATTTTTATTGGTCATTGTTCGTTTGAAAAACAATAAAAAAAGGAAAAATTATTATTAAATCAATGCTACCAACAGAATAAATATTGTAAAAAAAAAAAAAAATTTTTTTTTTAAACGGAAACCCTTTTTTTCGTTTGTGAACGAGTTCAAACCTGGTTTCAGGTGAAATCTAGGTTTTGATTTTGGCAACGTGATAAAAGGTGGGGCCTTGCGTGGCTCCTACAACGTTCACAAATTTTTTTTTAATGGAATTTGACGTCGGACACAAAAACAACTTTCGGACAAAAAAAAACTAAAAAATTTTTTCTAAGAAATATCGTGTCTTTAGACTAGAAAAAAAATTTTTTTTTTAGTTTCATTTAAAATTCTTCATTTTTTTTTTTTTTTAATTGACACGTAATAACTTTTTTCCTTCTGCTTTTTTATCTTTACGTTACGTAAAATATACATAAAAATATTTATTTTACATAAAAATATATACTTTGTTGAGTAATAATAATAATAATAATTTATTTCATTATTAAAAAAATATTTTTTTTTCCTCCCCGAAGCAAAACTCATCATCATCATCATCATTGCCGTCATCACAAACCTTACGACACACGAAAACGACTTTTTTTTTAAAAAAAAAAGTGTGTGCGATTATTAAATTATCATTATCATTATTATTATTATTATTAGTATTATTATTATTATTATTATTATTGTAATTGAAATAAATTATCAAAGTGGCATTGAGGGTTTCACCCAAACATAGAAAAGAATGAAAAGAAAAACACAGACACACACACGATACGCCATTAAGAAATATAAAAACAGGATAACAAAAACAGATTAAGGGCTCATGAATATGTTTTTTACCCTCTTGTAAAAATTTGCCCTTTAAAAAAAAACATTGTTTGGTCGCAGTGTGTGTGCGTGTGTGGACGTGCGCGGAGTGCACGATGATGTGTACGTAAGAAATTTATACACTTTGAATAAAGGTCCCGTAAAAAAATTTTTCTTTTTTTTTTTTTGAATCGATTGGATAATCATTTCGTATATAAAAATATCAGATTACTATCTTTTATATTAATTTAAATAGAGCATGGAAATAAGGGAGAGTGAGGGGAAGGGAGGTGGGGCGGGGTGAGGGTGAAAGGAAGAAACAACAAAACACATTTTGGCACATGTATACAATAAGTTCGAGAACCCGACAGAAAAAAAAATTCCTGTTTTTTTATTTATTGACCCTTTTCTCATTTGATTTGCAGCTGCTGTCATTTTATGTGTCCGTATAATACCTTGATAGTAGTCTAGTCGCAGTGCTGACAACTGAAAAATTAAAAAAAAATTCCCTCCCTCCGCTTGCTCCCCGGGGAAAATCAATCACAATTTTTTTTATTAAAATTTTTTTTTTAAAAAAATGTCACCAACTACGGTTTTTCTTCTTACCTTTTAAAAACATAAGGTTGAAAGGTTAAAAGGTCGGAGGTTAAAAAGGTTAAAATAAAATAAAAAATTTTTCCTTTGGTTTTACGCGTCACGCAATCGCGTAAAAATTCCATCGGGAAAAACGTAAAAAAAAAAAAAATTTTTTTTTCTGTTTGTTTCTTTGTTCGTTTGTTTGTTTGTTGATTTTTCACCACCGGCTCAGAGAAATTAAGAAATTAAATAATTTAATAAATTAATAATAATAATAATAATAATATTTCACTTCGTTTAACGTCACGCAATTTTTTTTTTTTTTAATTAATTTTTTAATATTAATTATCACGTTCCGAACGTGAAAAAAAATTTTTTTAAAACAACCGAACGCTTTTTTTTATAATTAATTAAGATAAATTATTTTTTACGTTCGGACAAAAAACGAAAATTACCCTCCCCTCAAAAAAAAATTTTAGAAACGTTAAAAATTATTTTGTATCCTTCGTCGTATCGGATACGTGAGACCTTTTAATACCCTCCTTTCATAAATTTATACGTTTGTAATAAAGTAGGATTACAATCGGATTAAGAGAGGATGATTAAATAAAGGATTAAGGAAAATACGTTTTTCGGACGTTTGATTGAAAATTTTTTTGTTTTTAAATTAATTGCTAGATGATAAAATACTTTCAAAAAAAAGTGGGGAAGAAGGATATGTTACTTTTTGTTAAGAGAGAGGTTGTTAAGAGGAGAGAAGGGGAGGGGGAAGGTGAGTGGGAAAATGAAAATGAAAAACAAATTTTTTTTTTGGGGTTGGAAATTTTTTATTAAGTAACAAGTCATGCCGAGTCGTAACCAAACATTAAATAAAAAATAATAATAATAGTAATAATAAATACAAAAGGGGTATTTAGAGAACAATAATAAATATAGAGAAAGGAGGTAGAGAGAGAGAGAGTAAATATGTACCGTAGGAAAGCTGCTGCTGGCACGCGACAGAATTGCCATCTTTTACAAAAACGGAAGTGTCTCGCTTTTCAAGTGTCAACGCTTATGGGTAATTTACGTCAAATAATTTGAAATAATTTTCGGTTAACATTCTTCATTCCCGTTAAAAAAAAGAACTCGTTTTTTTTCTTTCGAGGAAGTCGAATCTACCACCCCCTTGTAAACCCACCCTCTACCTACTACCAACCTAACAATAACGGTTTTTTTAATTGTGTTTCTGCGAGACCGGAAAACGTTAAAAAAATCCAATTGCAAAAGCAGATGGAACCAGAAACCTTTTTTTTTTTTACCTCGAAAAAATTTTTTTATTTTTTTTATATACTAGCGTTACAATCGTCGTTACTGCTGCCACGTTCGAAAAAACAAAATCAAACAGAATGTCCAACTTTAAAAAAAAAAAAAAATTATTATTTCATTTTTTCCGTGGGAGGGAGGAAAAAAAATGGCTCGCAATCACTCGAGGCGAGTAAAAATTTAAAAAAAATTTTTTTTTTTTTTGAAAGCAGAAGAAAATACAAACCTCAAATCCCGTCAACCTTCTTTTACCTTTTCCCCCCACCTCCCCCCACACAATTTTGACAAGTAGGTCTGATTTCAAAATTCTCACATTCGTCTCTCTTTCACTTTTTAAAACTATTTACTACTACTTCTGCGTCCCAGATTTATCTCGTGTCCCCTTTTTTTTTTCTTTTTTCTTTTGTAGCAATTTGTCTCAATGACAAATCGTGATGAAATTTTTTTATTTTTTTTTCAGGGCAACTACAATCGCTCGTTTGTAGTCATCTTTCGCAAAAAAAAAAAAAAAATTAATTTTTTTAATGATTTTATTTAAAAAAAAAAAAATTCAACATTTTTCTTTTCCTTTCCTCTGTTCCCCCGCACGCCACGAATCCCCTTTTCGTCACGTTTCCCCATCATCATCATTTCACCATCTCACTCTTTCTATCGAATTTGTGCGTGTGTGCGTGCGTGCGTGTGAAAAATCTTAAAATCGAAGTTTCTATGGTAACCTTTCAAAGAGATACCGGTTGCCATAACAGCAATTACAAAAAATCCATCCCATTCGTGACACGAAATAAATTTTCATTTGAAATTAACAAAAAATTTTTTTTCGGGGCGTTATCACGCTTCGACGTGTGATAACAACCGACGGCAATAATATTTTTATTTGTTTTATGAATTTATCATATCAAAATTTTTTTTTTAAATTACCGGTTTTAAAAGAAAAAAATCAAATTTCATTCACTCGTCATAAAAACACATACACAACAAATATAATCATTATTATTATTTTTGTTTGTTTGTTAAGAAAACAAAATCAGGTATATACCGGTGTTATGTCGTTAAAAAGACAAAATTTGACAAAAAGTAAAATAAACTCATAAATTAAACAATTACACGTGAAATTTATATTTAAAAAAAAGGGAAGAAATTGACGGGATAATTGGGCAAAGGACACCGTCCGACCTTGAATTCAATTACATCAATTAAATCAATTATTTCCCTCGTGCGTTGTTGTTGTTGTTGTTGTCGTTGTCGTCGTCGTTATCCTTCTTATTATGCATTTTTCTTCTGCTTCATGTTTTTTTTTTTCAACTTTAAACATTGTCATAAAAAATTATTATTATTTTTAAAAAAGAATTGATTTGTCCCTTTGACGTCGCCGCAATCGCCTGGAAGGGG